CAAGATTTTCAGACAAAATGCAAAGGAAATTAGTTTTAAAATCCATTTAATTGTGTGACTAAGGTGGCCTTATCTAACCATCATTCAAGTGCAGCTAATCTTCAAGGCATGCTAAAAGACAAGTATTGGCTGGGCGTGGTGGTGCATGCTGTAATTACAGCAATAGGGACGATGAGGCAGAAAAACTGTCATTAGTTTGAGGCTACTTTGGGTAACAAAATGAGTTCCATTTTAGCCTGAGCTAACATAATATGAGACACAGACTCAAATAAACAAACAAAAATAAAAATATTAGTAAAGAGAAGAGACTCACAGAGCTTGATATTTTTGCCTAAACGATGGTTATGCTCAGTTCAAACTATACACGCATGGAAAAATCTCTTTACTTGGCAACACCCATCTGTATGAAGAGGCAAAAATCTTGTCACAATTCAGAACACATGAATGCTTGCCATTGGTTTTCTTTTGCCACTTTATGTGTATCTGTGTGTATGTGTGTGTGTAGACCAGAGCGTGGCATCTGATGTTGTTCTCGACCAGTGTCTACCTTAACTTCTAGAAGAGGGTCTCTCACTGAGTTGAGCTAGACTTATTGGCCAGCAAACTCTGAAGATATCTGTCTTTGTCTAGGTAACATAAGCATGACCATGCCTGATTTTGTTTTATTTTATTTTTTTATTTTTTGAGATAAGATCTCTCTATGTAGGCTTAGTTGACCTAGAACCCTCTATATATACCAGGCTGGTCTTGAACTCATAGAAATTCTCCTGTCTCTGCCTCCTGAGTGTAGGAATTAAAGGCATGTACCACTATGCCTGGTTCCTATGCCTGGCTTTTTTATGGGTGCTGGTATCCAAATGCAGGGCCTCATTTTTCTATGGCAGGCAGTTTGCTAACTGAGCCATTGACCTAGCCCCTACCATTGGTTTTGATGTCAGGAAATGTCAATGCTCCTGGTCCTTGGAGCAGCCACACTGGTAACCCGCTGCCTGCAAGGTACCTTTAGATCTCTCTCAGAGCACGGCCCTAAGTGCTTTCTGTTGGGGCAGATGCTCTCCTTCATGTGCAGCATGCCTGTCCTCATAGGGCAGTACTCTAAGCTTACAAAGTGTTCTGCAAAGAGAACACCCAGCCCAGCTGGACCTGGCCCAGAATGAACACAGATGGTGAAGTCAGGAAGGGGGGCACTAAAGAATAATTTAAAGTATATTCCATATGCTGAAAAGGTTAGAAGGGAAAAGAAAGCTGAATAGTTTGAGTGAGATGACTCAGCAGGTAGAGACACTTGCCTGATAACCTGAGTTTGAATCCCAGAACCCAGTAAAAGATGGAGAGCATCAACTCCATAAAAATTGCCTTCTGACATCCACATGCACATTGTAGCACATATATGCTACTCCTACATTATACACGCATACACATACACTTCAACAATAATAATAAAGTTTAAAAAAGGAAAAAACCAAACAAGGTAAACAGGCATAAGATATACCAAAACATAAAATGATCCAAGTTAAAGTTCTAGAGATGAGGAGCAAGGGATGCAGCTCTGTTGGTAGAGTACCTACCTGTACGTATAAAGCCCAGAATCGTGTAAGACAAAGTGGGACAGCACATGCCTATAATCTTAGTATTTAGGAAGCAGAGACAGGAGTGCCACAAATACAAGGGCATCTTTTGGCTACATAATAAGTTGAAGACCAGCCTGGATTAACGAGACTTTGTCACAATCAACCAACCAACCAACTAACCAACCAACCAACCAACCAACCAACCAACCAACCAACCAACCAATCAATAATTAAAAAGTTGGACTGGAGAGATGGCTCATCAGTTAAGAGTGCTTACTGCTCCTGGGTTAAGTTCCTAGCCTACTCTTAGCAGCTCACAATGGTCTGTAGCTCCAGTTCTAGGGAACCTGATGCCCTCTTCTGGTCTCTGAGAATACTAGACACACACACACACACACACAGGCAAAACATTCATACACATAAAATATTTTTTTTAAAAGTTATAGAGATGAAAGCTGGGAGTGGTGGAGCATGTCTTTAATCCCAGCATTCGGGAGGCAGAAGCAGGTGGATTACTGTGAGTTGGAGGTCAGCCTGGTCTAGTTCCAGGACATTCCAAACTACAGAGAAACCCTGTCTCATAAAACAAAAAATAAAACAAGACAAAAAAACCAAACCAGGGGCTGGAGAGATGGCTCAGAGGTTAAGAGCATTGCCTGCTCTTCCAAAGGTCCTGAGTTCAATTCCCAGCAACCACATGGTGGCTCACAACCATCTGTAAAGGGGTCTGGTGCCCTCTTCTGGCCTGCAGGAATATACACAGACAGAATATTGTATACATAATAAATAAATATAAAAAAAAAACAAACCAAACCAAAAAAAAAGTTATAGAGATGAACATTATGAACATTTCAATTTACAAAGTGAAAGTGAAAGATGCACTGGGCAGAATGAAGAAAATAGGCACTAAAGGGTTGGAAGGATGGCTCAGTGGTACAGAGTGCACTAGAGCTGAAGGGCGGCATACACTTTTAATACCAACACTCAAGAGGTAGAAGTAGGCAGTCTATGAGTTTGAGACTAGCCTAGTCTACATAGTAAAACCCTGCTTTTAAAAAGAAGTGTGTGCTGCTTTTACAGAGGACACAAGTTCAGCTCCCAGCACCCATTCTGGGTGGCTCATTACCACGTATAACTCTGACTCCAAGGGGATCCTATATCTGAGGCTTCCAGGTGCTCCTGCGTTCATATGTACATATCCAAACACAGTCACTAATTAAAAATAACAACAACAACAACAACAACAATAATAATAATAATTATAAAAAGGAGTTGGAAAGATGGCTCAGTGGTTAAGAGCACTTGTTCTTAGTGTAGAGAACCTAGCACCCACATGGTGGGTTACAACCATCTGTAACTCCAGTTCTAGGAAACCTGACATCCTCCTCTCATCTCTGTGGGCAGCACATACACACAGTACACAACATAAACGCCAGACACCCATACACATAAAATAAAGGAAGAAAAAAACCCAGAAAATCATGAGCATCAGTGACTTCACGGCAACAGGTTTAGTGTACTTGTAACTGGAATCCCGGGGATAAAGATATATTAAAGCTACAAGAAAAAACTGGCTGAGAATTTTCCAGACTTGATGAAAACTATATAGCCATATGCCCAAGAGCTTTGAAGAGTCCCAAGCACAAGAAAACACAAAGAAAATGCTATAACATGAAATCTTATGGCAAAGCTCGGGGGGTGGTGGCACACACCTTTAATCCCAGCACTTGGGAGGCAGAGGCAGGTGGATCATTGTGAGTTCGAGGCCTGCCTGGTCTACAAGAACTAGTTCCAGGATAAGTTCCTAAAGCTATAGAAAAACCCTATCTTGGGGAAAAAAAAACAAAATTAAGCAAAAACTTAGGGCTCTTCGGGCAGTTAATTGATTGAGATCCAAAATAGAAAAAAAAATTAACCACAGTAAAAACATAAAATAAAGGTCCGGGAGGCTGGGTGGTGGCAGCGCATAGGTAGGCAGATCTCTGTGAGTTCAAGGCCAGTATGGTCTACTAGTGAATTCCAGGTCAGCTAGAGGCACACAGGGAGACCCTGTCTCAAACAACAAACAGAAGAAGTAAAGTGGGTTGGAGCCAGATCTGAATATTGCACACATCTGCTATTTCAGCACTGGGGAGGCAGCAGAATCAGGACTGTATCTGAGACCATTGTGGGCTATGTAGCAAAGACTATCTAAAGTCTACACCAGAGGATACTAGGTTGATACATGTAACAACATGTTAAAATAATAAAAAGAAGAGAGAAGAAAGGCCAAAGGAGTATACAGGGTTTAGGTTCAGTTAAAATTCTACAAAATAAATTGACTTCTGTACCAGAAGCAGATCCACAGTCCTCTAAATGTGGTGGTGAAGAGGAACAAGGGGAACAAGGGAGTCAGGGTAAGAGACATCATTCCTTTGGTTGTGGTGATGCTCACGGTGCATATGTATGCATGAGAATTTATCATAATGCATGCACTAGATATGTGGGCTTCTTCCTCTGGATTTTCCATACAGAAGTTACACATGGGGAGAACTTCAAGGCCAGGTAGAAAGAAATAAGGCTACAATGACACCCCCAGGCCGGTAGTACACCATAGCCTCATTTCCACAGAAGAAATAAGGCTACAATGACACCCCCAGCAGAGTCACACCTGGTTATGCTCTGCAGCTGGAGACAGCTGACTCAAAGGCTCCCATTGCAGCCAGATAGCCTCATCTGTTTAACCATGCAGACTAAGTCCTCTGCCTGAGCCCCAGTCTCTTCACCTGCTCAAGCAATTAACAGATGCATTTCCTTCCTGGAGGATTCAGGAGAATCAGTTTGGCTCAGATACAAGCAGTGACAGCAACATCATGGTTCCAGATGGATTCCTTCAAAGGAAGGCTGTCCCTCTATCCCTCATGCTGCCAGAATTAGAGGCCACCCATTCAGTCTCCATAAATTTACTCAGTACCCAAAGCCAGAACTATTAGCAGAAATGTCCCCACTGAAGGTACATCAATGGCCTTCTGGAAAAGGATTGAAGGGGCTCCAAGTGTCTAGTTTCCTCCTTGATGTCTTTCTCTCTCCCTCCCTCCCTCTTGTATTTGAATCAGGGTCTCACTTAATATAGACTGACTGCAAATCCTGATTCTCAGCTGCCTCCACCTCCCAAATGCCGGGATAACAGGTGTGCAACACCACACCTGGCCTTACTTGACCTTCCCTTCTTCCGAGGCTCTGTTCACTTCCACTTGTGACTAATGACACAATCAATAAACTGAAGAGGAAGCGGCTGGCCTAATAACCCTGGTCCAGCAAAGACTTAAAACCCTACTACTGGATAACGAACAGTCTTGCACGCTATATGCAGCAGCCTTTTGCCACCTCAGCCCCATCCTCTTCTCAGTACGCCTACCCCAGCCCCAATTTCCGGCCCTGACTCCTTACCTGCTACCTTCCTCCTTCGAAGAGACCAAGGTTGTCGCCCGCCCGCTGCGAACTGGCAGTTCTTGTGCCCTTTCCTCAGGCTCTGGCTCCAGTGACGAGCCAGTGCTACCATCGCGGCTACCCCTTCCTGGGCTGCTGTCCGCAGAGGCTCGCGGAGACTCGGTGTTCTGCTTCAGCGTCTGCAGTTTAGCCAGAGGGATGATGTCGCAGTTCTGTGGGCGATGCCACACCGTGCGCTGCGAGGCAGCACTGTAGTAGTAGAAGCGCGATGTATTGGGGTCAAAGAGCTCCCACCACTGGTCCTCGCTAGTGCGCTTGATTCGCACGCCGGCTGGCGGGTCCCATACACACTCCCCGGTGACCAGGTTGGCATACATTCGTTCTCGGGTGCGTGGTTCGATGATCTCCACCCACTCCAACCTGCAGGGGACAAGGGCATCAACCAAGACCCTGGCTCTCACCTTACATACTGGACAGGGGCTTCCACCAGCTGCTGAGTGCTCCTGGTGGTATTTCCTAGGAACCCCCAGGGCAGCAGGACCACAAACTATTGCCCTTGCCTGGTTCTCAGCCTGTAGCCCTGTAATCCTTTTTATTTATAAAAATGTAAAGTACTCCACGCAAGGCTTTATGTTTGATGTCAGGCTGTAAATGTTTAACGACTGCTTCCAAGTTTTTGTTTATTTAAGGTTTATTTTATGTGTATGTGCATATGTGTGTAGTGCTCTAACAGGTCAGAAGAGGGCAGAGGACCTCCCGGAGCTGGAATTACAGTCTGTAAACCACTCAACATGAGTCCTGGGAGCCAAATTTAGAAGAACATCACTCACTCTTAACCACTGATGCAGTGGCCATGTTTCCACAAAGCAGCTGCACTCATATTAGGACTGTGCGGCACATCACTGGAGCACTGTTCTGGGGAAGCCCCTTCCTCTTTGATGGAGGTTTGAGTCTGTAGCCCAGAATGGCCTACAATCCTCCTGCCTAAGCTTGCCACGTGGAGAGATGACAAACGTGAACCACCAAGCCTGGCTCTGGAAGTGTTTGATATAAAGACAAAGTGAATGTCAGAGAAGGCCTGCCACATCCATAATAAATAAAGCTGTGGAGCCTTGTTTGCAAGGGACACATTTCTGTTGTGTCTATATAGTTCTATAGGAGGTCACCAGACAGGAAAGCAAAAAGAAAAGAGATTGGAGGCTGGAGGGATGGTTCAGTAGTTAAGAGCGCTTGCTGATCTTGCAGAGGACCCAGCCTTGGTTCCCCGGCATCCACATGAGAGCTCACAACTGTCTGTATAGTTCCAGGAGATATGATACCCTTTTTTGATCTCTGTGGGCACCAGGCATGTATACCATATACAGATATGCATGCAGGCAAAACACATATACACATAATTTAAAAAAAAAAAAAGATCTTGGCTGGGCGGTGGTGGCACATGCCTTTAATCCCAGCACTCAGGAGGCAGGCGGATCTCTGAGTTTGAGACCAGCCTGGCCTACAGAGCTAGTTCCAGGACAGGCTCCAAAGCTACAGAGAAACCCTGTCTTGAAAAAGCGCAAAAAAAAAAAAAAAAAAAAAAAAAAAAAAAAAAAAAAAAAAAAAGTCTTATAGACATGGAGGAATTGGTGAAGCTTCCCCACTCCTCCCTCTGCACTATGTGTGTACATGCTTACAAATGTATGTATGTATGTTTATGAAGGTATATGCTTACATTGGGATGTTTTCCTCAATCACATCCTCAGCCTACTGGAGACAGAGTATCTCACTGAACCTGGAGTTCACTCTTTTGGCTAGACTGTCCAGTGAGCCCTGCCCCAGGGATCTGCTTATCCCTGCCTCTCTAGTACTGGCTTATATGCACACACTGCTGCACCCAGCTTTTACATGGGTGTAGAGGATCTGAACTCAGGTCCTTGCTTCACCACCAGAACCAGTTTCTCAGTCCATGCCTCTGTTTCCCTTTTAAAATGATCTGCTCTTTTTTCAGACTTTATAAAGAAAAATTTCAAATGTAAAAATACAGCAATGATTTCTACATGTGTGTTTTATTTATTTATTTTTTGTTATTACTAACATAGTCAAACACTTTTCTCAAACTCCTGAAAAACTCACAAGGAACATAGCTTTTCTTGGTTTCTTAGTGATCCACAGGAGCTTTATTTTAAACACGTGTTCTAAATAGACACTCAATGATGTGTCAGGAGGACCTACTTTGTGATTTATGTTTTTATTCTCTTTTGTCTTTTGAAAAAAACAAGTTTTAATCTTAATTAGTTGGATTTATAAATCCTATTTCTTTCTGGTTTAAGAAATCTATACTTGCAGGTCAAGCATATTCTCTTATAAATTGACTTCTCAAAGTTTTATAATGTTGCCATTTATACTGAAGTCTTGCATCTGCTTGGACTGATTTTGATCTTGTGGCATTTCATTTTGCTAAACAGTACCACCCCCGCCCCCGTGATGGACAAGAGCAGTACTACCAGGTCCAGGTTTACAGTGAACATTTCTGTCTGAGATGGCATCTGGCTCTGTGGATCAGCCTGGCTCTCTGAGCCTTTATTAGAGGAGCTTAGCAAAATCAACAATCTTGTACTATGGTTGATATTTTTTCTCCTATTTTCTTTTCTTTTCTTTTTCTTTGTTAGAGATAAACCTGGATCTTTGCGTGTAGTAAGCATGTATTTGTTCTGTCTCCGAGCTATGCCTCACCTTCTATTACCCACCCCCTTTTTATGTTTTGTTTTTGTTTTTTTGAGACAGGGCTTCTCTGTAGCTTTGGAGCCTGTCCTGGAACTTGCGCTGTAGACCAGGCTGCTCTTGAACTCACAAAGACTGGCTTGCCTCTGCCTCCCGAGTGCTGGGATTAAGGGCATGAGCCACCACTGCCTGGCCTATTACCCCTTTTCAAAGAGACTTACTACACAGTCCAATCTAGCCTTAAATTCACAATCCTCTTGCTTCAACCTTCCAAACAGACGTGTGCCACTGTACCTAGTTCTTGGCTATTCTTTTAAAAACTTTTAAGATTATACCCGTATTTATTTAGTATGTATGTATTTGGGTATGTGTTCAGAAGTCAGAGAACAATTTATAAGAACTGGTTCTATCCTTCCACTACATGAGTCCCTGGGATCAAACTCAGGCTTGGCAGTAGGTACCTTTACCTACTAAGATATCCTGCTAGTCCTAGTTCTTGGCTATTATTAACTTGTTTTGAATTCCTCATGAATTTTAGAATTGGCCTGCCAACTTCTATATACAACCCTGTTGGTATCTTTGTGAAATGTGATTGACTCATAGAGAACAAAGACATCTTTGTGGCACTGACATCTACCCAAGGGCTATCAATCCGGGTCTAAGGGCCTGTGTGCTGTGACTCTCAGCATACTCTTCTTCGGCTGTGTCCAAATGCTGATGCCTGTTCAACTCTGTCTTCCAGCTCCCACATTCTTCAACTCAAGTGTTTTACACCCAGCATTCCAATGCTTGCACTGGGAATCTGTTTCTGTAAATCACTTGAAAAGCCTTTTCTTGTGTACTGGACACCACACTGGCCTGTCTCCCTCTCTTCTCCCACTAAAGGCTCTACCCTCCAGATACAATGCAGAACTCTCATGTTCTTAGTCAACAGCTATATACCACTGTGAATGAGAACGGCCCCCATAGGCTCATGCTTGAATAACTGGTCCCCAGTTGGTTGAACTATTTGGGAAAGATTAGGAGTATGGACTTGTGTCCTCATAGGTGGAATCTAAGGTTTCAAAAGCCCACACCATTCCCAGTTAGCTCCCCCTGCCTCCTGCTTCACGCTTGTGGATCAGGGTATAAGTAAGCTCTCAGTTATGCTCCAGTGCCATGCCTGCCTCAGTCCACCTACCACCATATTCTTCTCCATGATAGTCACAGACTCACCCTCTGAAAATGTAAGTTCCTGACAAACTCTTCTATTGTTGCCTTGGTAATGATCTCTCTTTGCAGCAATTAAAAAGTAACTAAGACAAAAGTTGGTACCAGGGAGTGGGCTATTGCTGTGACAGCCCTGACCATGCCATTGTTTGGAGGAACATGGAAGACTTTGGGATTTTGGACTAGGAAAGTGGTTCAATGCGGTAAGTGGGACTTACCAGGTCATTCTAGCAGGAGCTGGGAAGACAGTGGGGTTGAGAGCACTGTGGACTATGAGGCCCCGCTTAGGAGTTTCAGAAGTAAAAACTATTAGAGACTGGTGACATTTTGGCAAAGAATGTGTTTGCTTTCTGCCCTTGTCCTAAAAATTTGCCTGAGGCCAAATTAAAAACTAATGCATGAATTTCTTTCATTGAGAAGATTTATTGGCTCTGTGCATGGTGAAAATGAGAAAGCAGGGCAAAAAGAAATTAAAAATGTACAGTTTGAAAAGAAAAGCACCAGGAAATGTAATATTGAGGCCAAGGCTTGTGCTGAAAGAGATAAGGAGAAGCTAGATTGGAAATGGAATAAAGACAGTGATGCCCCTTACTCTATCTGCCCAGCTAACCCTGCAACTTGTAGTAAAGTCCTGCAGAATTTCTTGTTTCTTTGAACCAACAACAAATCACAGCTTATGGAAATGTAACTAAAGGTGGGGCCCAGGCTCCCCTGTTGAGAGGAGTAGAGCTTTCCCACATAGTGGTCTCTTTAGAGACACGAAGGACACATGAGGAAAGTAGCTGTAAAATCTCCCTCCATGGTTAAGGAAAGTCACTGAGGCCAAGCATGTAGCAAGGAGTTCCTGCATGAAAGCCCTGAGAGGCCACTGTGTGAAACTGTGAGATGCTGGAAATGCCAGAGTCATGAGACTTTTGCCAAGGAAAGCTGCAGACAGGGAGTGTAACCAGCCCAAGAGAGAGAAAAGTGTGTTGCAGTCAGCAAAGCAGGAAGGGCAGAGCCATCTAAGCTCTCGACATCAGACACTGGGCAGAGGATTTGCAGTTTGCCCTAATGTGTGTCTTGTTTTGGTCCAGGATTTGCTCACTATACCCCCTCTTTCCTCCCTTTTGGGATGGTTATGTATATTCTATGACATTATATGTTCAAAGTATGTGACCTGGTTTTTATTTTTGATTTGTAGGGGGCTACATTTAAGAGATTGCCTTGAGTCTCAAAAGAAATTTTGAACATTTAAAACTGTTGAGACTGTGAAAGACTATCGGGACTTTTAAAGTTGGACTAAATGCAGTTTCCATTTTGATATGGTTACAAGCCTATGTGGTTCAGGGAGGGAATGTGGTGGTTTGAATGGGCATGGCCCCCACAGCCTCATGTATTTGAATGCTTGGTTCCCAGCAGGTAGAACTATTAGTATTAGGAAGGATTAGGGTGTGGCTCTGTTGAAAGAGGGGTGTCACTGAGGGTAGACTTCAAGGTATCCAAAGTGGGTACCATTCCCAGATCTC